CGTGGCTTGAAAGCAAGAGGGATGTGGAACAGAATGTTTGTATGGGACTGATGTGAGACGAGAATTTAAAAAAAAAAAAAAAAGACCACCTTACCTAACCCCATACCTGGAGTCCAAGTTTACGAAGTTGCTGTCTCCGGTGGTCTTTAAATGAATGTAACAATATTCTTTTTCTAAAACCACACCTGGCTTTGTTTTGTGAATAAAGGAAAGTCTGAAACGTGCTGAGCTGCTGATCACCTTCCTGAGCCGCCGTAACAACCCGCAGACGTGTGAAACGCATAGCGCTTAAGGGGCTTACTGCTGGCCTGATATTTTGGCGCGTCAGTCCTGTTATACTAATTCGACCGTCAGATCGATCGGATTAGTGATTTGGAAGAAAGCAGTGGTAGGTCTTGCGCTTGGTGTACCGCCCCCGGTGGGCCTTTCGGTGCCATCTCAGGTACCCGACAAAATCATCAAATAGACCCCCTGTTAAGCATCAATCAATGTTTTGTAAATTTGACATCCCACGCATTCGTCACATGATCATAAGAGTGAGTCAGGTCAAGATTTATTCAGCGACACATGAAGACAGGAGGAGTTAATCATAATCCTTGCACTTGACTGAGGGATACTACAGTCAACTTTGATACCCGAAGAAATAAATATCTCGGGGTACACAGTATTCTTTTGTAAAACACTTTCCCCCTACAAATCTAATAATATTAGCAGAGTATGAGTATGTATCGCTATGTTAGATTACGTTTCACAAGACAGAACGTCTCTCCGGTAATGAATAATTGTCAAATCCATTTTTTTTTTTCTTTTGCTTTCCTTATGATCGGCTGCGAAATGCACCTTCCTATTTCTTGGTCTCTTCGATTTGCTCCACCTCGCTGGATTCATCCACCACCTTGCCGTTGACCATCGTCTGCGTCACCACCTTCACGATCTTCCTGGTGCGCACGTCGGGCTCTTCTGCACACGTGATCATAAAAACGACAACATATATCGATAGATAGAGAGGGAGAGAGAAAAAAATGGTTAAAAGTACTCACTTTTTGGTGGAGGTGGAACTTCCTTAATGCTGAAATGCAAAGAAAAACTTGCTTTGAACAAAAAGGACACTCAAGCGATAGATCCACATGCTAACTTGCACTTCTGCTTCCACATGTTGACATGCAGCTAAAACCCCTCAACGACATGTTGCAGAAAACAGAAGGATGTCACCTAACGCTGTGATTCCCATGAACCGAGGCACTTTTTTTTTGGTTTGAAAAATCGCCAAAATTGTCCCAAAAAAGGATGCATATGTAAATTGAATCCTTTTTGCCATCTAATCGAAGACTCCACCCACTTCACTTTTTTTTTCCATGTCATTTCCGGCTGGTGCTAAAGCTGGCATCTCACTGAGCCGAGTGCTTGTCAATGCTTGCGAACGTAGCGAACGTCGGTTTGTAAGGATGTTGCAAAAGACTGCCAAGATGTTCGCAGACACTTTTTACTTATTCCAAAGAGTTTTTCCTTATTCAAAATTTCTAGGCGGTCTCTTTTTTTTTTTTTTTTTTTTACAAACCCTGACGCAAATCCAATGTTGGCAAGTGTTCCCTGCCCAATGAGTCAGCAGCTTTACCTTTCCTCTCCCTCCAGCAGGCGCCTGTAGGTGGCAATCTCCATCTCCAGGTTCTGTTTGACGCGCAGGAGCTGCTCGTAGTCCGTCTTGGTGCGCTGCATGTCAAGCCGGAGCTGCGAGAGGTCTTCTTCCAACTGGTTCAGGGTGACGTGCAGACGCTCCATCTCGGCGGCGTACTTCTGATTGGTTTCGCCCAGGTTCGCCTCCAGGGCCGCAACCTGAGGGCGGAAACCGAGGCAACGCAGGATGGCAACGGTTCAATTCCGTTCTTGTCCCGCGTGCGCTTCGAGTAGAAACAGAAGAACAGTCGGAACGTTCTTCTTAAGGCAGGATGGCGATCACTATTTTAGAAGCTTATCCCACTGGCACAAGTTCCTCGCTGTCTACCTCAAACCTCCAAAATGTCGTCCCGATCCTCAGATGACTTCACAGGCCATGACCAACAAACCCCCGTGAACAGACAAGACGCTGCTCTCCAAAGCAACCGCTTTCTGGCGAGACTCATTCACTTGACGCCTCGCTGGGAGTCGACCCTGACTCAGCAGTCTGCTGCTGTCGCTGCCGAAACATGTTGACTGTCAACACGCGCTTACTAGTCAAACAAGTGTTTCTGAAGGCGTTAATCTTTGAAGCTAGGTTTTATTCATTGATTTTTTTTTTTATCTGCTCGTTTGTCAACTCCCTACTACCGGTTACCTACACTGTAACTACTTCCAACTACCAGTCACTGACTACTTAACCGTACGACTCCAAAACTAGCGACTGGATGCTACTTAATTTTGAGACATTGCACCGATGGAATATGTGGCACACCCTTCCCACTGTCAGAAAATCAGAAAAGCCATCGCATCCAAGTGAAAATAGTGGAGGGAAAGGAAAAAAAAAAATCTCACCAAAGACACTTTGTGTGAATGCATGGTATGCTTTCTTCACATCGGACATTTGGCGTGCGGCTAATCACCTGCTTGTGCAAACTCTCCAGCTCCACTTCGAGGGTTTGAAGGAAACGCTGCCTTTCGACCAGCTCGCTCTGCGCAACTCTCAGGGCCTCGTTGCTCTCCTTCACGTCGTTCTGCACCGTCTCCAGCTGACACAGGAGAAGGTCAAAAATGACTGTGCTTCAACTTTTTTTTTTTTTTTTTGCCCAATTAACATGATGAAATACGTTCGTGGCCATCCGGCAGTTATGTACCTTTTTGCGGTACCAGTGCTCGGCGTGTTCCTTGTTTTTCTTGACTATGCCCTCATATTGGAGCCGCAGTTCAGACAGGATGGCTCCCAGTTCGGGTCCCTGGGCCGAGTCCACCTCCACGTTGACCTCATCCCGGGCTATACGAGACTTCATCTGCTCCAGTTCCTGCAGAGTAGGAATTAATATTCCCCCCGCATCGACAGTACATTATTTAGATCTTTTCCATCAATAGTTAATGAAGGACGGCTCGGTTTACCATCCGAACAAAGTAAAAGTCGTCAACCTAGGCTTTATTCTATAAGTGATTGAATAAGCAGCTACAGTGGACGCACATCTATGCTCTGCCGTTTATTTCCGCAGGAAAAAGTGTGCAATCGGCTTGTAATGTTCCGATTTGTGTCTGTATGCTCACGTTGCCATTGCGTGCGGATAAAGACGGTTTTGTCAGAGAAAATTTTCCTGGCTATAGTACACCTCACATAGAATGAGCGGACAGAAGCGGCTGTCTTAGTGTCATACGATCTAGCTGTTCTTTGTGTCTGTTGTAACCAAAGGACCCCCCCAGAAGACCACTTTCAGCCGCCAAATTAGGTCAGTCAACTACAATCTGTCTTCTTGTTGTTTGAATGGGAGCGAAAAATAACCAAAAATCCAAACAATTGTGGTTGAAATAGTGACTGAAATGGGGTTTGTTTTTTCATGTCTTTAAGTGACCATCAAATGTTTTAAAAAATACTTAAAAATGTCACGATACTGTCCTGTTTTTTGTTTTTTTTCACACGTCAGGCAGGAGAGGAGGGTGTTCCCTCCAGAGGGACACCTGACGCTAATCTGCCTCATTATCCAGCTGGCTTTACAGACCCAGCCTCTTTTTGCACTGGGATGACTGAAGAGCAAATTAAAACGCGGAGCCCAGAGAAGCGGACAAGGCACGCATATTACCTCCTCGTGGTTCTTCCTTAGGAAATAAAGTTCCTCTTTCAGGCTGTCGAGGTCACCCCTGAGGGAAGCGATAATCTGGTCATGGTCACTTTTGGCCTTCTTCAGGGCCACGCAGTCTCGCTCCACCGACTGACACATCACCAGCTCCGTCTCCCACCTAGTTGGAATTTGTCAGTTGAACATTTTTTTTTTGTGCGAGGCTGGCAGATGTCTCGAGGACATACACGACGTTCCAGTGTGATCATGAACGACTCACTTGATCCTAAAGTCATCGGCAGCCAGTCTGGCGTTATCGATCTCCAACATGAGGCGAGCATTTTCCAAGGTCTTCTTCCTCACCTAAAGAAAAAAAGAACTGTAAAATAGTTGAACTTACAATATAGCACATTAAAGACCAACAGAAGTTTTCCTGAAACCAAAACAAAAGGGACCGGCAACCAATCTGGGGTGTGCGCCGCATCTCACCCGAAGTCAACTGAAATAGAGTGAGGGCTCCAGTCCAGGTTTTTCTTTCTTTTTTTTTTTTTTTTTATTAATTAATCAAGTTGACTTTCCAGTGTGTCTTTACCTCCTGCTCGACTGCATGAGCCTGGGTCATCATGGAGTCAAGGTCATGACCTTTGGGAATGCGCTCGATCATCACTTGCTTGATCTTCATCTCCAGGTCGGCGTTGGAGCGTTCCAGCGAGTGCACCTGCGACGACAAAAAGACACGGTTTGATCAAAGTGCATCCGCGACATCATATCCTCGTCTGCCGCTTGGCTGCTGACCAAGAAACCCCCCCTATCCAAGTACTTGGCCAGACGGTTGTTGAGACTCTGCATGGCCTCCTTCTCGTTGGCGCTGTTGCCGTGGCGCCCGTTCAGCTGCAGGCCGGTCGGCCCGTTGAGGTCATGGCTGACGGACGCCGATCGGGTCAGCGGGCCGCCGGCGGAGAGCGAGACGGATGCGCGGGAGCGGCCGGCGTCCATCAGGGAGCGGCTGGAGAACGATGGCTGGCGACTTACTGAGTAACCCCGAAGTGACATGCTGGAGGTCATGATGACGGGCTGCGGTCGAGGGGTACACGGGAATGTAAGATGGGTCGGCACATACCAGCATTCGAGCGAGCCTTCAAGACTTATAAGCTTTTTGTGAAAAGATCAATTTTATGCACAATATCGACTTTGTTGCTCATAATTGTGGCTTCAGTGATGCAAACATCTGAACAGTCGTCTTCATATGTGCAATGGATATCCAAAAAAAGTCTGCTTGCCCCGATGTTGAAAAGCCAGGTTGTGAAGCGCATCATAAATAAGAAGTCACGAACATTCTTCAGAAGTATCACGAAAGATTTGCGCAAAGCCGTACACAAATGTTTCATCCTGCACAGGCACAAGGACACTTCAAGTCCACTCAACATGATAAAATGGCTCTCAAAATGTGTGAGAGTCCATCGTGCGCCATCCGGGGCACCAAGCGACTTCGTGGTCAGCACCTCTTCAGTTTGTCCATCTCACTTCCATTCAGTAAGAAAAAAATAATTTAAAAAAATCAATCTAATCTAAATGTAAATTCTCATATGAGAATGCACTCATAAAGTCAATGACTATGATAATAAGATCCCTTTTGTATTCACGAAGAGCAAATAATCCCAGCGTATGAATATGGGGCGCAGTTAAGGGCGTCCTGTGTAAAAAAACTGTGCCAAACAAATCATGAAAGTGACTCGCTGTGGCGAGGCCCTGACAGGACAAGTTAAAAGTGGCAATATTTGCATGAATGCTTTTATCTGCAATGCAATGCATTCATCATTTAATGAGAGGGGAAAAACAAGTCATAATTAAGTCATAATGTCGTTGCAGTTCTCTCTCTCTTTCTGGAGGCTTATTCGGCATTCGCTTTTCCTGATATCACCTTACTTCCTGTACATTGGACACATCAACGTGTGGATGTTGGACAGTCGGCCTTTGTGTGTGTCTATGTGTGTGTGTGTGTGTGTGTGGCGGGGGGATGCAAGGCTTGTCCGTATGCACTGGCCTCGGTGCGTTTCTCAAAAGAGTTTGAGAGGTGGATTAGCCATCAAGGGAACCTCTCTGTTTGTCTGTCACTTGATCCTGGCAACGCGACAGAGGAGCCATCAGGGCACAGATGAACTCCTTGTTCACATGAGGAAATGATGGCCTAAATATGATTCATTGTGCATTCCGGAACAGAGACAAGGTAACTAACCCGTTGTTGGCTACAAAATGCAATTTTCGATTGATAGAATTTTTTTTTTTTCTCATGTGCATCACAGCGTAAACCGTGACAAATCTCATGCACGTGTGTTTTACTGTCAAATGATGGCTCATTTAATCTCAGGCAGATCATTTCCGTGAGTCAATAATCTCAAAGGTAATAAAACAAAATACAAGATGTCTTAAACTTACCGAGATGTTCTCGAAACAACAGGTGAGAAATGACGATCGGGCTCAAGGAGGCTCTGCGCTGCTGATGCTGCAAGGTGAGTTTATATTCAGGTGAGCGGGGAAGTGGGCGTGGCCTGTTCACAGAAAATGAAGGTGGTGAGCAAAAGGAGTACGGCATCGCTTGATGGGGTTGGGGGGAAAAGGGTTATTAGCATTGTAATTTAGTCAATTAAGTCCAATGTATACAATACGTATGTCAAGCAGATTTTGTTTCAGCAATGTCAGAGTGGCATCAAGTATGCCTTCCGCTGGCTGACAAGAACCCTCTCGTGTGGCAGGGCTATTGAATGTCTCATCGCTGTCACTGTTTCAAAGTCGTGGAAGCAGCCTCCAGTCAGCCCCCCCCCCCCCAATCTCTGTAACTTGAACGTCCTTTCAGTGAATTATTAAACCGTGGTGGCTCAGAGGACGAGAACGCTGGCTTGCGCGCACCCGTGTGCAAAGACCCTCATGAGCAGGATAACATGCAAGAATGGGGAGCACCGGTTCGAGCGATAAAACCGCAACATTGCCTTCAAATATGCTACGTTCATGACCGTAACTCCGGTGAATTCGGTCTATGCAAATGAACTCAGCGTTGAAGCACAGCACTCATTTGTTTGCCACAGACGAGGATATTATAATTTCAATGAGATGCAAATATCCCGCTTCCATCATTTGCATTATGACCTCAATCAACATTTTTTTTTTTTGTGTTTTGTGCGAGAGACAAAAACAGGTTTGGGGCCTCCGTAGTGATGAGATGATTTGCCTTACAGGTAGCATAAAAAAGTGACACATAGTGCAGTTATTAAATCTGTTATAATCCTGAACAGGCCCGACGTCACTTTAAGATATCACACACTTCCATCACAATTTGAGATACAATTATCAAGCCTCTCGGGTAAAAAGCAAGGAAACAACATTTTGAAAATAGACAGAAATTATTGAAAGATATAGAACACACTGAAAGGCGCAGCTAGGAAAATATGAAAAGATAAGAGTACATTCGTAGCCAGTATATTCCATCTGTGAGGCTTCGCATCAGCAGTTATGCCTCCTGACAAAAGAGGGCAGCAACAAGCTACCTTGGAAAAACTTGCTCACCTCTCGCATATGATATGATTTGATAGATGATATTAAGATATTAAAGATAATATTATAACATGAGAATACAAGTGGCAGTTTACAAAGTGCTGTTCTCAGATACGCTTTCTTCAACTAAATATACTATAAAAATGAAAATATAACAGAATAGATAGCAAACCATGTGATGGATGGATGGCAGGCAAATGGATGGATGGATTCTAATGAGATATTTCAAAGGGAAAATAGATCTGATTGTTTACCATCATCAATATGTATATGTACAGTACTTAATTCCAACTTGTATTCCTATAAAGTAGATTCATTTATTTTATTAAATATAAAAATAGCGTAAATCCATTTGTTGGTCTGTCCACTTAATCTATCCATCCATCGATACATTGTTTCTTTTTATCGCTACAGTATTGCAGTGATTTTCAAGTGGTAAAAGAGTGCCCTCTAGTGGTGAGCACGAAAATAAAATCGATGAGTTTCACGTTCAGAGTCACGGCGCAAATCGTTGCAGTACCTGAAACTTTTGTTTTAAATACCTGTATTTAAAGACGCGTTAATGTTCAAATTGTGCATCACGTTACATCCTCTCGGAATAAAACTCTACCGTGTTTTGATGAACATTTAGGCTTGCTGCTTCTATGGTTGCTCTTTAAATAAAGCGGAGTTGAGTTGAATGTTTTCATGATGGTGGTACTTGGAAGGCTAAGATATTTCATTTTAGGTGTAAAAAGTTGAAGAACCACTGGTCTCCTGTAGCTATGTCTTGATCTCTCGATATTTCTCTTTCACTCTTTCCGTCTATTGATCTCTCTCATCAACGAACCAAAAGTGAGAATAAACATGAGCTAAATCCACTGTTATCCCTTAACTTTCACTTCCTGCTTCTCTCGCGTCCCCCCCTGACAGAATTTGGTCTGTTAAACAAATAAACGGGTGATTAAACGAACAGAACGCCAGGATACTCCTGCTGACCCCACTTGACTCCCTGTGACTCCTGTCACAAGTGATCATATGATCCCCTCGGTGGCGCATGCGACTTGACACCGAGGCCAGGCTGCCAACTTTGACCATCGGGTCACGTCCACCAAAAAAAAAAAAAGAGTGAATAGAATATGCCGGACGGAGCATGGGTGAAGCCTCTCAATAGCTCCTCAAGTGATTGCTTCCTGTTTGAGTTCAGGTGCTGCCTTTCACTCTCACTCATAGACAAACAAACATGGACATGATTACTGTGTGCAAGGAGCGAAAAGTTTCTCTCGCCCAATGCAAGTATCTGTATAAAGCATCCACTATCCTAAACCAAACTGTTTGAAGCAACAAACAAAACAACATTCGCGCGCCGCACAAGTCTGCTGAACAAGAAACAAACATTGAGTTCAAGAACATATTCCGTGCATTTTTTCACAAAAATCAACCCAATCAAAATTTTAATATTATTGAGGGACTATGTTTGTCCTATATATCGTTCCAAATCCGCAAAAAATGTGTTGGGCCTACTCACGTTGTAATACAAGGCAGCATACGACCCAGTGCAAAGGCAACTATGGCTTGTTCGCCCTCTAGTGGTGAGTGGTGATATTACAACTGTATACTACAGTGAACTGCATATTCACAGTTCGACGGCCATGGTTTTGCATATTCGCGGATTTTTAACTGACTAAAAATGTAGTCACGTCTTACCACAGTTAAATTCTCCGAAAATAGGTTTCAATTTGAAAAAAAAAAAAAATTAAAGGCTCAGACTGATGGCTCTTGGGCCCCCGATGTTAGTTTGATGCTGCGCCCACGAGCTATTTTCTGATAAGATACAAATCAGTGGTCAATAGAGAAAAAAAGGCACATATAACAACATATGTTAACCACTCTGTAAAAGCACGCACCCCCCCCACCCCCCACGCCGTTGCCTGAGTGCTGCTTTTGTGTGTCAGACAAACATCAGCGTGCATGTTTGTGTGCGAGCGCAGATGATGATTTCAGAAGGCTTGTGATATTTTAGATATGCATCTATAAGCCTAGCTGCTGAGTGGATGGGAAGTTGAAAGGAAAAAGTGACGCATGTATGTGTGTGGGTGTGTGTACGCGTGCGTGCGTGTACTTTTTATTTAAGTGGAAAGTTGGCAAGGGGCCCAGCGTTGTCCTCCGGGGAAGTCCTCGTCTTCTTAACTCCGGTGCGAGTGTGGCGATGCCTTGCTCAAGAGCACAATTTCCAATCCGCTTCCTCAAGGGAAAATGAAATAAAATTACAGTTCGATTTTTATATACAATATGAAATATGAATATCTATGTGAAATCATATTCTCGGCAAATGAAATTAAATAGTCCTCAAACTGAAAACCAGGAGATTTGTTCAGAAAAAAAAAAAATTCAATTGCTCACCAAGTCGCCACTCCCTCGCGCTGGTACGAGTCGCCATGGTAACAAAAATAAACGGGCCCTGCTGTCTACGGGGTGGGGTGAGGGCTCGCTCATTTGCATGAGACAGGACAGTGACCTCAAAACAGGCTAATTTCGCGACATGCTGTATAAACTTTGACACATCTCATTCACATCTGAGTTCATTTGAGCACGAATTCGCAATGTCATCAGAAACTACGAAATGAGGTCCTTTTTTGGGTCACTTTGTAAAGCATACAATTCAGGAAATGCAAACTACAGCTGAAGACGTCACAGCATGTCACGGTCCATTGCCAAAAAATACAATGAAAATATGCCCTCTAGTGGCTATTTTAAGTATAAATGAAAATTTGAAACTAAAGGGACGACGATTCTGTTTAATCCACCGTTTTGCTGTCAAATACATATTTATAATTTTTTTAAACTAAGAATCGTTGTACCAAAGTGTTTGTAAAGCTCTGATCGCAGCACATTCATGACAAAAACAAAGAACATAATTTCATTGGATTAAATATTTGTCTCATTTCATTTTTCATGGAAAAGCAGTTTTACAGAAAGCAGTAACACCCATAAAGATTATGATTAGTGATGATGGAATGCTTGTCTCGCAGCATTAATACAATGAATTTTCAGACAAGATTTAAAAAAAAAGTTTCTGCCGCACACGTGTAAATGCTGAGACATGATCCTTCTCATAGTTCCAAAACAAAATGCTTCACTAAAAGATGCAGATCAGCTCATCGGATGGCCCCAGACTACACACAACACTATCAGACTCAGCCTGCAGTCAACAGAGAATCAACTCCACCCCCCTCCCCCCACTCCCCATCCGAAAATCCCCAAATAAATCCAACTCTCCATCTTGGATTTAAAAGAAAAATAATTCAAGTTGTGACTTTGAGTTTGTCAAGGAGACATGGACAGAGAAGACGATAATGACACAGCGCTGTGATGCGCGGCTAATGTGATCATTAGATGTTTGTTTGGAGGAAGACGCTCGGCTTTCCTTCCTTTGGGGCCATTAAGAGCTGGCAGCGGCCTTGTTTTTGCCTTGTTGTCTAAACCGGGCCTTTTCATATCGTGGTGACGTGTGCTGCGGTTTCTCCTCGGCGTGTGCGTGTGCACACGTGGGTCTAATAATACGAATATAAAATAAAAATGAAATGATGTTCTGTTTCGATGGATACTGTCGGGCGGGTAGTTATCTGGCAATAGTTTGTCGAAATTTTAGGCAGCTTATAAAGCTACTGTACACGAGAGTCAAAATATTAGAAACAACTGTCAGTGTGATGAATGTTTGTTGTACAAGTATGTAAAACGTTATTGACTTAAAAAAATGAACGAGGTGCTGATCCAATTTAAAATAATTGTTGCTGATTAAAACAAACGTTTTGAATGTATAAATTACATCCAAAGTGTTTTACACTTTTTTTAAAGTAGTGAATAACTTTTTCTATGAAAAAAATCAATTTAAATCTCTTGAAATTCATACAAAACAACAATTTGGTCATTTAAAATCAAGATATTCCAATGAGGAAAAATTATAAATATAATCTGACATGACCTCTTTCTGTCATAATCAAACCTTTTCCCCAGGTAA